TGCTGGGCGGCGTGGAGCGCCTGCTGTCCCTGGTGCTCTGCAGGCACGCTCCCGGGAGCGGCAGGAACATCCTTTACTGCCATCGGGAAGATGGAACTACTGTAAAATTTATCCTGCTTCTTGCCGTGCTCTGTGCATGCCTAGATTATATGTAGCACCTTTTAAGTTCCCTGCAATCTGCTTGTTTGTTTTCTAACCAGTGGTATTTGGAGGCTTTTGGGTTGTCTTTTTTTCTCTGCATTTTATGGAAAGTTTCTAAAAGTTAGTTGGTTTGGCCTCTATTGTAATGTTATAGGCATATGTCATCAGCTGACTTCCTTGGCTGCATTTGGAATTTTAACCCTTGCTCTTGCTGTAGAAAGCTCTTGAGACAAATAAAATGGAATTTCCATGTAAAGTATTGTTTTAAGTCTGATTTTTCTCATTATTTTTTGTAACAGTAGTTTCAGGTTTATGTATTTAATAATGTAACTGTCCCAAAGTTGCATGTGATTTTTGGGGGGTAAATTAGGTGGCTTTTTCTTTACCCTGAAGAAGGCATACTGGGTTTCAGGATCATGAACTATAAACACTTAACTAGTTAAGTTTTAGTTGATAATGAGATTGCTTTTTACTATTGTCTAGACACCTCTCTTGCAATGTGTGTCTCATTTATAAAAAAACAAAAACAAACAAACAAAAAAAAAATTTATTGTTAAAGTAGTTAATTCTTCATGTGGCGTCCATGACGCACTGCACTGCCATGTGGTAGAAAGCTCTTCAGAGGACCAGGAGTTTCATTTATCATCCAGGACTGAACTTTTGAAATCACTTCTTTCTGAAGACATAGCTGCGCTCAGTGTGTTTCATGGGTACAGGATGAGTAAAAGGACATAAAACCTTTTATTGATATTTTTTTTCCTCTCTATTTTTCTAGCTGGTGAAGCTTTGTATTGCAATGATTGATACTGGGAAAGCCTTCTGTACAGCCAACAAGCAGTTCATGAATGGAATTCGAGACCTGGCACAATATTCAAGTAAAGATGCATTGGTTGAGGTATGTTCTTGAATAGTGCAAATAGGAAGAGAAAAACATGGATAAAATGGTGAGATGTAGCACTCACTAAGAGAAGTAGTTGAAGATGTTTGTACTATTATTCTTTTTGCTCTATTTTCTTTGGCGAGTGCTTTGTTTGCGGTGCACAGCAGTGCAACCGTCACTCAGGTCAAGGCTGTAATTTGCAATTGCAAGTGTTTTCCAAAGCCCAGAAAATGTCTTGGGACAGGAATTGTCATCTTGGGATGGTTGGGGAAAAAAAATCAGGGTGATGGTTTGTGCAGGTGCCTCTGTGCAGTTTGCTAAATAAAAGGGTTCCAGTTAAGATAACCTAAGAGCCTGTTCCCTGAGCTTTGAGAAAGTACCATGGCAAATGCAAGTAGATGGCACCTGAGGAGTCTAGTCCTCTCTGGTATATATATAAAAAAGTAAGTTTCAGCTGTACTCAGCCTGCTTCCATGGCAGCATACTTCAGGTTGATATCATTAGGCTAATTTGGAATAGCTAATTGGACAAAGCTCACACTTTGTTCTTGGTGCTTTTTTTTTTGTATGTGTGATCACACTCAACACTAGATATGTATGATAATTTGAATTGAAGTTTGAAGTTGTATTTTGTAAGTATGCAGATATATTATAATTGTGTATAACATGTATGTCATGTAATCTATTTGTGTTGCAAATGTGCATCTTCATAAAGCTAGTTGAAAAATGTATCTTTGAAATTGTGTGGTGTTTGCACGTGTTTGCAGAAATGGTGGTTGTTTGGGAATGGACTTGTTAAGAACGTAGTGCTGTGACACATTGCCATGTAACAGAAAACCAAGTTTAATTTGTAATGAGATACAAATGAATTTGATTCAAAGCATTTTATTTTGTGCTTAAATGTCATAGAAGTCATTATCCAAATATTAGGGATTATTTCATAAATGTTTTTGAAATGTGGAGATTCAACAGATCCCCTCTGAGGTGGCTCAGCATTTCAGCTGTGAGGCAGCAGTTATCACAGTAATGGGAGTTATAAAATGAGATGTAGTGTAAGCTAGTGTCTTTATATCATATGAACTTCTAATAAATTAGTTAACTTGGATTGAGGTTTTTCTAGATTTGCTTCAGTTTGCTATGTTATATATAGATGGGGTAGCAATAACCTATTTATGTTGCTTGTCCTTTTAATAATAGCTTAAGTTGATATTATTCCTGTAGTCTCCTTCTACTATAAAGTATAGCTGATTTAGCTTAGATGTAAATTTAGATTAATCATGCTACGAATCTGTTCCAAGCTCTTCAATGAAAAGCTGTAAAAAGCTGAAACATTGTTTTCATGCTCTAAGGTTTAACTTAAAACATTTATTTTTATTTTTTTGCAGACTAGCTTGACAAAGTTTTCTGATACCTTGCAGGAAATGATCAATTACCACAATGTAAGTAACTTTTTAAGCTAAAACATGATTCTGATAACTTAGGTTGACTCACAAGTTATCTTTGATAGTAGAATAATGCTGAAGCTTTTCATGATACATTCTTCAAAAGAACACACTTTAAGTGGTAAATATTTTAAAAGTTTTACTTGTGAAATATTTTATTTAGATTTTTTAATAAACAAAATAAACCTCTAAACATCTCTGTCTCTAAAGACCCTTTTACATATTTTTGTGTCTGGAATTTAAGACTTGCTAAAATCCAGTGTTGTACTGTAAGATGCAGTGAATTCTGGATAGTTTTGCTTTTTTAAATGAAATGCATGCATAGCAGTGATCTTGGAGCATTTATTTTTTTACTGGACTTAAATAGTATACCTTTTTCCATATGTTCTGCTTTTTCTTTTTTTTCTCCTTTATAATGTGGAAAATGAAGCACTTTTTTTTTCTTTTTTTCTTTTTTTTTTGTATAGTTTTCTTTTTCAGAGGTATGCCAGATGCAGAGAAATGTGGAGATATAAAAAAATGGTAGGGTTGAGCCCTAGCCATCTCAGGCTTTTTGCACAAGTTAGGCTTTTTTCTTTTGTATTTTTGTAATTATTTTTCTCCTCTCTCTTCTGACTGGCTGAAAGCCCAAATAACATGCCCTTTACTTTGGCCCCCACTGCTCTTTTCTAATCCTTTGCTGGAAAGGAACTGGAGCTTCTCTGAAGATGGGCTGGATTCTTACAAATGCCAAGCATCGAGGTTTTTGTACCAGTAGGAATTTAAAATGTAATGAGGCAGAGAACAGTTTGAAGTGTTCCAGTTGAAATGTTTGTTAACATTAACTTAGCTTCCTAAAATTCTCACGTAGCTTTTTTTGTTTGTTCGTTTGTTTTTTTAAATGCATGGTTGTCTAAAGGGTTTAAATGAAGGACTGTATGTTGATGCTGTTGAGTATGGGTGAGGTGCATAGATTGAATATCATGAAGCTGACGAAGGGGACAGGAAGTGGGCAGAGATACCTTGATATTGATGGCAAGAAGTGTGTGTGAATATTCACAGCAGTAGCTGGCTCTAGGGGTGGGAGAACACATTATTTCTGTGCACAGATTTCTGTAGATTGGGTACAGCAGGTGAATTCACTTTGATACCACAGACTTTTCAGACCCTCTCTATTATGCTTGGCATGCTGTTGCTGGTTACTTTATTACCTGTTTGCCTTGCTTTATGGTATAGGCCTCCTGATGTGCCTGACCTAGGTGTTTTGATCTTGCTGTCAGTGTGCTATTTTTTTACATGATTGTGGCTTGCAGTGCTTTAAAGGTTATGGGCTGGAAAGGTTATAGATCTACACAGATTGCACTCTGGACATTTTTTCTGTCCTTTTAGGAAACGTATATCTAGGCATTTTTCTGCCTAGCAGTGTTGTTTTTTACTCCGAGTAGAATTGCAAGGCCTTACATTTCTAGGTGTCCATGAATCTGCAGAGTTCCCATCTGGTCCCGCTCCTGTTTTGGATGTGGATTGGTGCGTTCCTCAGGCACTGGCAAGCTTAAATGTCACTAGTGGGAGTAGCCTCAGCATGATTTCCACCTTGCTGAGCCTTTATCTATTCTAGTTCTCTGTGTCTATGTGTGTGGCTTAGGTATTTTTTTTCCCCCCCCCCTTCTGTATCTTTCCCAAGTGGAAATGCAATCTGCCTCTTGAGGATCCTCCATGTGTTACTGTTAGATACAGGATATTTCAGGTTGAAAGGGGCTTTGGGCAATACCTGAAATAAACAGGGTGGGCTCTGAGGCTAGAGCATGTTGCTCAGGCCTTTATGTTCCTAGGTCTCAAAAGCCACCAAAGATAGAGACTGGATGGAGTCCCGCCTGGTAACTAAGGACTTCAACTCAGTCGTGTTTTGCTCTCTTCTGTGCTTGCAGAAGCCCTGAGCTGGGGAGGGCTTTGCTGTCAGTACTTGGCACTACGTGCTGTTTTGCTCCCGCAGTTTGTGAGCGGGGAAACTGAGGCAGGGAACAGCTATCTGCTAAAGGAGATGTGGTCAAAGGGTCACAGCTGAGACAGACTTTTTGATGTGCTTTCACCAAAAGGTTATGAACCACTTGGATCTCCACCTTTTGGAGGAGATTCTATTGAACTGGACTGAATACTACTTGATATTTCTTAATCTGTCTTTTTTTTTTTTCCTCCTGGTCATGCCCTGTACTTCTGTAATACAACTGGGAGGTATAGAAAAGAGCCTCAGAGGACAGATGTGAAGCTGAAGGAATGTGTAGTTTCATTTGTCAGATGTAATTTCTGGGGACATAAGAAAAAATGTTAGCACCCTGTGGTGTGTGCTTTGGCCTTGGGAACTTAGCAAAGCTTGAGGAAAATCGTTATATGGATGACTATTCCCCCTTTTCTACCTCCTTCAACCCATCTTGTAAGAGGCAGAAATAAGCACAATTTTGGATCACTTTACATCTTTCAAAAAGAAGCAACTGTTCTTTGTAGCAGCTGGGCATGGAGGAGTTTTTTATGAATTTAAGTAAGGGAGGGGGCACTAGTTGTTCATGTGTATTACCCTTCATTGGTTTCAGCCTAGAGCTTTTTGTGGGAAATCGTGGGTTTGTTCTTTCTACAGTTCCATTTGTTTAGTTGTTGGTTAAGCTGTGAGTATGTATTAAAGAAACAAAAACAAACAAAAAACCCCCCAAAACTTCATAGTTTAAGACTCAAAATCACTTTTTCAAAGTTATTTGAAGAGTAGTGTTCTTCACTGTTGAGTAATCATCATAATAAACATGAGCGACGAAAGAAGGCATGCCAAATTATCTGGGTGAGAGAACTGCATACCAGGAACTCTTGTCTTTCCTTATGACTATATTTTTTTTAAGAGAAGACCCATGTGAGGAATTTGTTTTGGGTTGTTTCTGTTATACTTGTCTTCCCATATAAGTTATAGATGTTTCTTACTGTGCTCTACCTAGACTTCTGGAAAGAGAAATATTGTGCTTTTTAATATTAGAGAAGCATTAGGTTAGTAATAGTTCTTTCTAATCCTGCATAATAAGCATATGTATTTCTGCAAGAAATGTACCTCGAGTTGGCGTGACTTTTTACATACGAACCAAAAAACAAATCTTGACATTTAAGTATTCAAATTAGTTTCCTGATCTTCGCTTAAACCTTAATTGGCAGATATCCAGATCACACCATCAAGGGTAGAGTTCAACATATTGCCTAAAAAGAGGCAGCTGGTTGTGTTTGGAAGACAAGCCCTATAACTTAGGGTTAATAGAGGTCAAAATTAGATTCTATTAGGGAAGCTGTGCAAATAATTTTTGGTGTGAGATAGTGCTGCATTTGAACAGAACAGGCTAGAGCGTGACTCTCTCCCATATCATTCACTCAGATCAGGATTACTTTGGTGAAGAAGGGTCCAGGCTACTTTTTTTGTGACTTTGCATTGGGAATCACGAGCATCTATGACAGCCCCTCCTGTGCCAAGAGTGTATTAGAAATAAGTTTGTGCCGAGGTGCTGCAAGTGATGTTGTTGCAGATCTACCTTGTTCCAGGGCGTTCTGCAAAGGGCTTTAGCTGGCTTGAAGGTGATGAAGGATGTTGCCCTGCTGCTCACTACACACTTGCGGAGCGCGCTGCCTCCGTCTTGGGGGAGCTTGCATAACTGTTATTTTTGGTGTGGGATCAAGGAAAATGACTTGTTTCGTGCTTTCTTCGTTTTTCTACTTCATGCTTTATTGTGCACGTATCTATGCGAATGTGGAGCAAGGTTGCCAGCCTGGTTTTAGTCCAAGGCTACTCTTAGTTCTCTGTTTTTTTTGTTTGTTTTGCTGCACAGTGGATTTCTGGCAAAGATTTTTCAAGCAAAATGTTTTTAATCCCAGAAGTAACATATAGTGTGAAAAAGTACTCAGTCTGACACACAGAATAATTTCAGAAACTACTGTATGAGGTCAACGGCTTCCAAAAAGGTGAGAGAGAGGTTTAGAAAGACATAAAGCATTTAGTAGCTCCTAATTGTATCCTATGCCTATGTTGAAAATGAAAAGCTATGAATAATCCCAAGTTATTGAGATAAATCTTAATGCTTTTTTTTTAATTTTTTTTTTCCAGATCCTCTTTGACCAAACCCAAAGATCAATTAAAGCACAACTTCAGAGTTTTGTTAAGGAGTAAGTTTCTTTTCACTTATGGAGAAATAACTATTAAAATGTCTTTAAAAAAGAGTCTAACTTCTGAGTGGGTTGGTGAAAGGTTTTTGGAAATCTTCAGCCATTAATTGAAGGGTGTGTATTACAGCCTTGCCAAAAACTGCCCCACACCAAGGAGACTTTAGTTTCAGCTGAAGAAATGCTAAATTGGAAACAGGATATGTTTTTGATCTTAAGATTCATGTTGTCTTTGTTCAATTAAAATAAAATAGCGCTTACTGATTTTCTTTTTTTATGTTTTTCTAAATATCAGTTTTACCTTTCCTCAGAAGAAGAAAGTGAGGCTTCCATCCTGCTGCTTGTGATTTGCCTCTAATCTGAATATTCATTAAAGAAAAAACAATGAAGCTAGCTTATAACACTGCTAAAAATGTTCTGCTTACTGCTTCTTTTTCTCCTACACTTTGGAATTAGTCATCCTTTTTTTTTTAATTGTCTTTAGAGATATTAGGAAATTTAAAGATGCAAAGAAACAGTTTGAGAAAGTCAGTGAAGAAAAAGAGAATGCTTTAGTGAAAAATGCCCAAGTACAAAGAAATAAGCAGCACGAGGTAGAGGAGGCGACTAATATCTTGACCGCTACGCGGAAATGTTTTCGGCACATAGCTCTGGATTACGTTCTTCAGGTAAGTGTTGCATGTAGAGAGAGAAGTCTTTGAGAAGCTGCTGTTGTAAGTTCTTAAAGGTGTGGAAATTACCAGTGTATAAGAAATAGTCTGCAGGTGGTGTGTTTGTGTATTTTTTGATGAAATTCTGGGCAGTCAATTTACTTGATGCATCCTTATTGCTTAAATTTGTATATTGTGCTTTTTCTGCGAGAGTGAAGATTGATTTTCAATTTAAGTGTGTCTAGTTCTGTCTCTTCAAAAAAACTGATCTAATACAGCATAGTCAACACACAGACCAAAAAAAATGCAATTCATTATGTAATTGAAATAAACTGCAGCCTAGTCTAGCAACTACAGGTAACCTGAACACTTGGATCTAGGATGCTGACTGCTAGTGCAATTGCAGTTTTCTGATATGTGTTTTGTTTGACAACTACTCTATTTGCCTGCTGAGCTGGGAGTTTGGCACTGTCTTAACTTCTCCTATGGCATGTAGTTCTGGTTTTGCTTTACAACTGCTATAGGGTGTTGGGAGGTGCTACTTTTGTATCCTACTATTTTGAAACCTGAGAAATAATTTTTCTGCACATTTTTCTAATTCATGTGTACCATGGGTGGCATAGCCCTGTCTTGCTGTAGTTACCTTTAGCTCAGGTGATTCCTGCCCCTTCTGCTGACTGGATTTGACCTAGTGCACCAATTTTTCCTCCCAACCCTCGGCTCATAATTGGATTTCAAAACAGAGCTGATGAGAGCTGTGCACTGGGGACAGACTCCAGGGAAATCTGACATTAGCAGAGTACACTCAGCTGTTATCACTCTGCAAGGGAACATGTTTCTTTGTGCCCCATCGTTAGTGCTCAGCTCCTGCATGTGCCCGGGGTGGCAGAGCCGGTGCCAGGCGCTGCTGCAGGAGACGCTTCTATTTCGTGACTCTGCTGCTGGGGAGTTGACTTCACTGCTGTAGTCCCTCGATAGCTCTTCTGGCTTTATTTCTGATAAATGAGGCTGTAATTAAAAGCTCTAGGTCTGGATGACAGCTTTAACTTACAGACTAGAGATAGGAAGGTGATGGTGAGGATAGGATAGAAGAATTATTTGAATGTGGAAAATAGGGTATGTCCCTCTTTCTATTTAATGTGAAAAGTTTGAAGTTCAAGGGTCAGTGAACTTGGCCGGTTTAAAAGAGCAAGAATGTGAAATGTTGTTCACTGAAGATGTTGTGATTTTGTTTATTTTATGGCTGGGGCTCTATCCCAGTTTTGGGAATTTTTTGACAACATCAACCTTGGGGCAGACCATTATATAACACGGTTTTAGCCCCTTTCCTAGCAGGGAGGCAGGTGCTGCGTGCAGCTCCTTTAAGGAGAAGCTGTGGGACTGGGTTGGCTCACATGGTCAAAAAGTTATTTGAAATATGCATTGAAAAATCTGCATCGAATATGGTCTCTTTGAGATGGCAATCTAGAAAATTTGGTACCTTTGTGTGTTATGTTACTTTTGGAAGGCACATCATGTCTGAATTGTTTTCCCTTCTGTTATAAAGCTTCGTGACTATCATTGGGAAATGACACCTTTGCAAGGCTTTATCTCTGAAATGAGTCACTTATCTCCATGACAAATTTAGCATGCATTCTGTACTACTGTAAAAAGGCTTTTTGTAGTCAGATATTGAGTTATATTCTTCTATTTTAAGCTTTGAAATGCTTGTATGAAAGTAATCTGCTGTTTATTCCCATGAGGGAAAGTTTGCTAACTGAATTAAAAGCTTTTGTTTCCTTCCTTTTTTTATTCCCCAGATCAATGTTCTTCAGTCTAAAAGGAGATCGGAAATCTTAAAATCGGTAAGATATATTCTTGATTTTGATATAGACAATATTTTATTAAATTTGAAACGATTTTTTAAAATGTGACTGCAATGCAGTATATGCTAAATCAGTTTGTCCTTTTCTCCATGTACATTACCAGTCCACTTTATAATATCACTTTGCTGATGGTCACCTTGGCGTTTATGATAACTAAATTATTTTTGGCAATCCTTTTGGTTCAAGTGTGGATGCTTTGCTAAGGCTTTTATTGCCGTTGACTCTTTGGTATGTGCTTTGATTAAAAATGAAGGCTTTGTTCACCAAAGAGTCTTTTCTTTGGGACTGTGATATTCATTTGTAAACAAGAAGCACCTCTTCCAATCTCTTTCTAAGACCAATTCAGCCTTTTTCACAAATAGCATTCTTACTTTGTATAGCAGCTGAGTCAGCTAATATGCAGTATGCTTTTAGCTGTATGGGTTGAATTAATATACAGCTACAGCTGCATGCTTGTTTTCTCCTGGTTATACTCCTTTTTCTGCTCCTTCATATCATCTCTGTCTGTTCTTATGTCTTGGCTCTGTTCATACATGTTGTGATTTTGGATCATTAGTAAAAAAAAAAATTCTGTACCCTCACTAATTACATGTCCTAGTTAGGAGTTATTCAAAGTTTTTTAAAAGATTTAGATAACACAAATTGGAAGCTTTTTTTCTTCCTTTAATAAAACTTTTGTTTTCTGTACCCTCACTGATTACATGTCCTAGTTAGGAGTTATTAAAAGTTTTTAAAAGTTTTAGATAACACAAATTGGAAGCTATTTTTCTTCCTTTAATAAAACTTTTGTTATGGTTGATAGGATTAATCCTGTTAACTAATTTCTGAGATTTTTGATTCTGGTTTTTGCTGCCTTAAACTTGCATACTTATTTATGCTACTCAAAACTGTACAAAGAATGGATATAAAATTACAAGGGTAAAAAAGTATCGATTTTACTGTACTTTAAGTTCATTTGTGTGAATTAATTAATTGAGCTACCTAAATATTGTATGATTTTTCTTTTTCCTTCCATCTAGATGTTATCATTTATGTATGCTCACCTGGCTTTCTTCCATCAAGGCTATGATCTCTTCAGTGAGCTTGGGCCCTACATGAAAGATCTTGGCGCACAGGTAACAAAAGTTATTTTATAAGCTCATGAATATACACTGAAATGAAAGAAAACTTGATGTGTGGACACATGCCAGGTGCCTTTTAGTCTTACTTGATAAAAAAGGGAACTCTGCAGTGTCGCAAAGATAGAGGCAAAGCGTAAAAATACTATTTTCCTCTACAGCCCTGTGTTCTTAAACTTGAAGCTTTGGGGGCTCTGTAATAGAGAATCATGAATAGAGTGACCACAGCTAACTGAGCTTAAGAGCTATTGAAAGTAGTTGTACAAAATGGATTAAGAGCATATGGTATGCATTTGAAAGTTGTCTGTTGTGCCAGAAAGGAAGACTTAAGTCTGTGTAACTTGACTTGTTTTCCACAGAAACTGAATGGGGTTGAAAAAATAGGGGTTTTTTTTGCCTCTATCCAAGCATTTAGAACAGCTGCACTGATACAAAAACCTTTGTTCTTCCTGTTTCCCAACTGAAGATACTAAGCCAAGCCATCGCTCCCCCGCAATCTTAAATGTCTATCTGCATCCAGAAGCAAATAGGTTACAGCAAACATGTACCTTTATTCATCTCAAAAGATGCATCTCAATGTCTGTGAAATCAACTTGTTTGTTTGGGGCTGATCTTAAAGGGTTTGTGGTCCTGGCTGTTCATTCCTTCTGCTGTGCTGTTGTCACCTGTACACATCAACCTGTTTGGCTCGTGGTGAACTAGATTGGTAACTGTAAAAATACCTTTTTAGACATGTAATTTTGTGAGTTGTTTTTTTCTACTAGGTTAATTCCTTAATCTCTAAGTCACAGTGTGTCTTCTTAAATACTTGTGGAGGCACAAGCCTGGCAAGTGTGTGTGTATTTGTGTGCACACACACACGAGCTGCCTCTTTTAACAGGAAGAGAAGAACTAGTGAACCTAGAGCCCCCAGCATTGTAGTGTTTGATGATATATATGTAACGATGCAATATGTGTAGAGGTAGGGAGAGAAGAAGGCTAAAACTATGTAATTAGTGTTGCATGCTACCAGCTAGGCTTTAATGTTTCCATTTCAGTGAGAATTGCCTTAGGAACTTTGGGTTATTTTTGAATGGCTGGTCATCCTTTTGCTTGATCTGTGCAGGAATGTTGTGAAACATTCAGTTTGGTGCTGGTATCATAGCAACCAAGGAGTTAAATTTAGAAAATCTGAAGCTGAGAATGTTTAGAACTTATTGCAAATGGAGAAAACCTGAAGATCCCAAAGTTGTACAACTTGCTGAATTATTTCCCCCTGTTTTGCCATTATTAACTTTTAAATAATGGCTGTTTTTCAGTGGAGAAGCAGCGTAAATTTATTTAACAATTTTATGACTTGTATTGATTCAAGTTTCTGTCTTTAAAAGTCAGGGAGATGTATCTTGATATAAAAAAATAGTCAGGGTTTTATTGGTGTTTATTTTTTTGTGAAAATACCATCAGATTCTTTCTGTTGGTAAGTGAATTCTAATTCCCAACTAAACTGATCAGTATGAGACCCTAAATAAAAGATTTAATAGCATCTGAAATATGAAAACTAAGATATGTTAGGTGGTATGACCATATAACCTTTCATTCTTATGTTCTGCACTTTCAAAATACTGTCTGGTTTGAGCATTTTCAAAATACTAATGGAATGAGTTTGGGCAGTTTTATTTTCTGGATATCACAAGTTTGTTTAGGATTGTTCATATTACTCAAGTCTGCTTGAATTATCATTCTGCAGTGAAAATATAAACAGCCACACGTTTTAGTCTAGTTTATTTGTGCGTAGAATACTACCTACAGGGCACCAAGTTTATACAGAATATCATTAATATTAAATGCAGCGTTTTGAAAAAAAAAAAACCACTCATTTTTGGAGACTACTCAATAATAGCATAGCGACTTGGGCTTTGATAGTTCAGTCTCACTGTTGGCCACAGTTCTGGGAACAGTGTGTGGTGCTGGTCTGGTTTTTCAGCCAGAAAACTGGTGATATTTTGCTGATCTTAACAAAAGAGAAAATTCAGGTCTGTGCTTGAGACCTGGGAATGATGCAAGGTTGGATTGATAATGAAGAACAGATTAACAAGTGGGGCTGTGCTAGGGCTTTCTAGCATGTTTAAATATGTATAAAATGTGTATGTTTATATGCCCATGTACATAAGATGCATAATGCCACACTTTTTCCCTAGTTGTTGTCTCGAGTCACCAGGCACTATTATGAAAGGCATGAGAAAAAGCTTTGGTTCTTTGACGAGCTCTTTTGATCTTTATAAAAAAGATACTGTTAAAAGCTTTGTTTTTATTATGTCTATTAGTGGCAAATCCATCCTTGCACACTTTCATGCTGAAATAGACTACAACTGATGTCCCTCATCTGAATATTGTCCTCTGTTGCATCTGAGTAGGGTAGGAGGGGGAAACTTCTTGGAGACCGTGTCTAGGTTTCTAATTCTGAGGTTGCTTCAGGGTGAGTCCTGTAACATCTTGCATGGCCCTAGGGCCAGTTCTCATCTCAGCTGTAAAACAACGGAGTTCTCAGAGTCCTTGGAGCACCATGACAGCCCCCTCTCTGTTAGAGGATCTTATATCCTTCTGAGTTCACGTAGCTCTGCGTTGATCATGTCAGGACACTTCAGTCTTTCTTATGTTTGTGCTCACAAAATACCTGTAAGACATGAACATGGTCATGTAGCCGTTTGAGATAGACAGTGAAACAGAGAGAGGAGACTTACTGAAATAACCAGAGCATGGAATTGCATCCAGATATCCCAGCTATCTGACAGTTCCTGAATTGTTGGACTGTCCAGTGCGACAGTGTAAGAGCTACTCACTGTCCCTGTTCTTTCTTGTTGGCATCAATGCAAGCAGGGAAAATGTGACACTGGGGAAAATGAACCGAGTTGGCAGAGCTACTCACTTGTGGTTCAGAGAGTGGGTGGAGACTCTCCTTTTTGTGTGTAAATAGGGGATTGGATTAGTCATACTGTGCCGTTTGCCATATGACTGATACTGGAAAAGTGGAGTCGCGCACTGTCCATAGCCTCCCAGACCCAGCTCCGGGGTGAAACGGCGTCCGCCCCACAGGCGTGAAGCTGTGTGGGCTGTACCCCCATGTTCAGTCAGGTCATCATCTCTGCTGCGTTTGCATCTTTGCTTAGTAAGATGCCAGGCCTGGCCTTAGTGGAAGTTGTGTGTTACAGTTTGGATAAGCCAAAAATTCACCATTTATTATAGCATAGCTTGTCATGTAACTGCTGAACTCATTGGCCTTACGGACAGCTTCTGCCCTTCTGTTTTGCTGTTTCTTATTTAGACACATTCTTGCATCAAAATCTGTACAAAAGAGTTTGCTCAGAGGATATAATAAATTTCTTACCCTCCTTGTCCCTTTCAGTCTCACAAGGAAAAAAATATATATTGTTTCAAGTATGTTTGTAGCAAGTGTTTGGTAATGTTCATTTTATTGTCACAGACTTCTTAAGGATGTGTAATTTAATACAATCTCAGTCGTGACAGTCCTTTTTCTTTTTTTCTTTGCAAAAGTAGTGTTGTATTTTTAAGACTAGAAATAGTCTGAATGGTTCTAAGAGTCTAAGGAATCTTGCCTGAGTACTGCGAGTGAGCCCTGGGGAGTTATCAAGGGAAAAGCCTAACTGGGGCAATTCTGTGCTCCGAGGAGGAAAAAATCACCAGCATCTACTCTTTCTAGTTTCTGCAGCTCCTGCCAGTGCTGCTGCACAGGCCAGACAGCTCTAACGCATGAGTCATGCGCCTCAGCCCCAGCACCAATGCGGCGCAGCCGGCGCTTGGCACCATGCTGCTCCGGGAGACGTTGCTCCTGGGGCTCAGGAGGAAGGTCCACCCTCCCTAGAGGTTAATTCAGGATGCTAGTGCAGAGCTCTAAACGAGGCAAAGGTGCTTGTTAAAGGTAAACGCTTTGTCATCACAGAAGTGATTTTTAGAATGCAAATAAAAACGTCAGGCAATGTCTAGATATAATGTATTCTTTTTGTTATGAAATCTACAGAGCCAAATTTCTCTTGAAATCTAAAGATCCAATTTTCTGTTTCTCTTTACAGCTGGATCAGTTGGCTGTAGATGCTGCAAAGGAGAAGAGAGATATGGAGCAAAAGCACTCCACTATTCAGCAAAAGGTACTTGAAAGAATGTAAAACATGGATTGCACACCCATTTCTGTTTATCTTTTTGGCATCTCTCTTCAACAGTAGAGAGGTCAATCTCTGCATTGCAACTGCAAGGGATAATATTTTAAAGCGCAGAGAAATAGCCTTACAGATCATTAAACATAGACTTGAGTTGCAGATACTCCTTTTGTGTCATGCAACACAATATTACCTTGCTGTCAAAACTGAACATAAGTAAAACAGCAGAGTTTGTTTCAATGCTGGGACATCTAAGCATTTCATTAAAACTCTAATTTCAATGTCATCTTGGATTCAGTGTAGTTGTAAAAGTTGTCAGCACTTCCTCCTATGTGTCTGTAGAACAGGTATATGCTTTGCACAGTCCTACAGGCCTATGTGCATATTTGTCTTCAGGGCTATGCCAAATATGAGTTGGATGCCTTGATGTAGAAAGTGGTGGTTGTTACGATGTATAAGGAGTGAAAGTCAACTTCTGTAGAGATTGTCTGATGTGTAATGTTCAGTTGAATGCAAATGTGAAAACAGTGATAACATTAAGTTGCTATTTTGGGCAGACTTATGTGCTTTTATTTTTGTTTTTGTTTGGGGGAAAATGTAGATACTTCAAATTTTTGGTGGGAGGGGAATGACTTCTGTTGCTTGGATGTTTCAGAAGCTCTAGATCAGTATTGATTTTGCAGGTGTATTTCTAGAAGTTAAAAATATTTCCACTGAACTCTCCGATAGTGAGCTAATACTTCAGGTACTTTTGAAAGGGATTAGATACGAGTTTAAAGGTAATGCAACACTTCTTACTCTCATTCAAATACATTTTTATGTGATCTATTCAAGTGCCACAAATTGAGAAAAACTTTAATGTAAATGAAATCTGATGGATAAATTAAAAATTCACTAGTGAGAACATGCTGAAAATAGAATGATTTAGGTAACCTTATTAGGAGTCTATTTTAATAGAGGGGAAAAAAAAAAAAAAAGTAATGTTGCTTCTGCCCCTGTTGGTTGTGAGACGTTCTCTTTCAACCTCTCCAGCAGTTGGTAGGAGGTATTAGGGTTGCCTCAGCAGTGCTACTGTGCTGCATGTGCGGACAGATACAGGATAACTATAGATAAAGGACTATGGGGAAAAAGATGGAAATAATTACATTTGTATGTTCAAGTTTTGTCTTACTGAGCCCAAGTAAGTTCAGTTTTAGGTGTGGGTAGTAGTTGTGGGTTGCTGTTGGAGGAAAGTAGTGGTGAAAGATGTAGGTTATGGGCGATGCATTTCTAATTGGCCATAGAGATAATAAGTTGTTTCCGTGATTTATGATCATTCCTGTGTCCAGTGATATTTACATTTGTGGTTTTTGTTGTTGTTTTCTCTCTTTAACGCTGCTTAAGGCTGCTTTGCAGGTAAAACTATTTCTAATTTTACTGTAGTGAAACTTGCAACTCAATCAATTATGTCTGATATAAATATTTTTTGTTGTTTCTAACACAAACACGGAACAAACAGACCGATTAATCTTATTTTAATTGAATGATCACTTTACACTGCCTCCAAAGTAAAATCAGGACATTAGGATGGTGTTGTATGTTGTCTTCAAGTTGTGTTGCAGGTCAAACATGTTTAGGATATCTCCTGCCCTTACTAATCAAATAATTCAGGTGTTTTTTGTGATGATAATACCAATCTGTGTATCTAGCCTTTGGAAGAAGACATGATTTAGCTATACCTTCTGAAAACATTTGCCTGGTGTCTTATTCAAATCAATTTGTTCCTGATGGCACCTCCATGCTTTTCCCAGCACACAAGTATGTTTCCGTCCCATCAGGACTTCATAACCTTCAGCTGGCTTAGACCTTGGGTTTTGTTTCTTAGTGTCATTACCCAGTCAACCTCACCAAGATGACACTCTGGTTTTCAGTTTTTCTTCTTGTCCTCTCTACAGCTTTGTGCCATGCCGCTCTTTAGGCATGTTTCCAAATTTCCCAGTGCCAAATTCTTGCATCTCTAACTACTACTAAAGTATCTGCTTCTTGAGTTGAATATTCCATGAAGTACATATGTGCTTAATATACTTAATTTTGTTTTTAGTTCGATGCCTTGGAATGATGCCTTTTCTTTTCCCCCTTGTATAGAAAGCAAGCAGTCTCCTTTCTGAAACTTTTATTTATGAGTGTGTATGGACCTGTCAGCTCTGCATCGTTTACCGCTGTTTGTGTGCATGCATATTCATGCAGAATTGTACTAATTAAATAACTCAGACTTCTTTTTTCCTTATTTTCAGCTTCCCCTTTAATTTGGCTGTTGTCAGAGAGGCTGATATAAATGTCTTGGGAGGGCTTGGCTGACAGTATACTTTGATTTCTCAAGAGATTTGATGTCTGTTTTTTGAACTTTTGGCTGCTCTCTGTTTACTTAGCTACTTGCAACAAACGATTTGTAAAGTATGAATTTTTACTCATTAGTTTGGAGCAACACGTACTACGGCTTAACCTAGAAAGAGCTACAAGGGAGTTTTTTTGTAGGGAAGGATACATATCATAAGGATGGTGAGAAAGTATTGTCAGTAACATGGAAGACTGTTCATGACTCCCGTCTCCAGAGTGGCTTCATGCAGCCTGTTACTGTAGAAATAGGTTAAATTATGAGATAACTTAAAAATTACTTAGAGCTGTCAACAGCATAGTGGTTGTTGTGACAGAGCTAATAATTCTAAACACAGTGAAGTTATATAGAAAATTCATTACAATTGTACAGTTTTCATAGTATTCAAACAACTCTTTCATGCAAAAACTGGAGGAGAAAAATCTGCCTCTGAACAAGTATTCAGGAAACAGCTGGAGTGAGAATGATCTGAGAATCATAACATCTTGACTAAAGGAGCTGATAGGAAACCAGATGCTACCACAGCATGAACTGCTGTTGCGGAGGAAAGCAAACCTTATTCCTGTCCCCCAAAATAAAGATATATTTCAAATGACCTCTGTGCTTAGTAATTATCTTGACTTCTTGGCCTTCATCTTGGACCGTAAACCTTGTTTCTTGTCGTAGGTTTGTAGTTTTGAGCTTTTCCTCAAGAGAGTTTAGACCAAGTGCAACAAACATTTCTTGCTTTGCTTCTGCTATGGGAAGGGAATGGAAGCAAGTGCTTCAAAGGCAGTGGGAGGCAGGGGATGTTGCCGTATATATATATGCATATATATGTATGTATATGTATATATATATTCTTATTGGTATGCACTGCAATAACTTCTGAGTTTATTCTTTTACGGGCTGGTTGGGGTACGTTTTGTGTCTGTGTCTGATTCATTTCTTGGTCTCCCCCACTTTCTGCCTTTCAGAAAGCTTGGAAATTCAGCTTCTTTAAAATAGAGAAAAGCAATATATTTGTCCCAATTCAGTGAATTCACTAAATTCCCAGGAATATAGGGTGCAGATACTGGCATTCCTAGTGGTGGACTGCTAAAATGGCTGAAATTCAAGCCTTTGACCTTTTAGTAATCTTCATATTGTAAACTCTGCTTAAACTTAAGGTGGATCCTTAAACTCTGCTGCTGAACAGCGACTTTGATGCAATGAAAATTATATGTAGAGGAAATAGAAGAAAGCAGTTGGACTATGAAATAAATCCAGTCTGTGATAAAATGAAATTCATATACAAATGTTGTCACTCAGACATGTCAAGGTGTGAGTATTGTGACCCAATAAATTAATATTAAGTGTAGAAATGAAGGTTGCCCTGCCATTGCCATTGGATTCCTATCACAGATTTTAAAAAGTGGCAGGAGAGGACGCTGTACCTCTCGCCTACGTACAATGCTTTGTATATGTGTTTATTTTCCAGTGCCTGGCAAATACTTAAAAATAATTGGAGTAGAAAACGTAGACCTTTCTTACTTTAAAACTGAGCAAAACATGGAGTGTAGCACTTTAGTGTGGTTTTCATAACATTATTTTATTTTTTTGTATTATAATCCTAGGTGACACCTAGCTAACAAAATGCAGGCTTTTCCAACTGTGCGTTTCCCTAAGGAATGTCAGGTTGTGAATCACATGAAGTGACTGGACTGTTAACATGTGATCCTCCTCAGCAGGATGCTGGAAAGATGTGGATGCATTTCTCCCTACCCCCGGTTATTTTTCATAATCCATTAAACTTTTCCGTGAGTGAGGATAAAAATAAGTTATAATGTGACTGCTTTCCCCGTATTCTTTAATTATGAAATAAACGAGGTGGTCAAATCAGATATGATTTATCCAGCTCTTTTTCTACCATTGTGCTTTCAATTAGAAGTTTTGTTGTTTTGTTTTTCCTGAGCACAGCATTAGCAGTGATAAAACTTTTTGGATAAAGCATAGGGAAGTCTTACTTTTAAAAGCTTTTAAATTCAATTAGTATTCTCCTACGTATAGCTAGGAAAATGTTCAATTTAGGTGTACTCTTTTCCTTAGTCTTCTCTACCTGGGTTCAGGTGATCTCACAACATCCATTAAAATGCACTTCATGAGATAGACAGTATTTTAGGTTACTTAGGCAGGAAAATAAGTTTGACAACAGAAGACAGCATTTTGGATTGCCTGAGTTTGTCTAGCTTCAAAAGCAGCTTAAATCTAGTTTCACTGGAAAACCACAAGTGCATTTTGTGAACCAGCTGCCTGAGCTGTGAGGAAAATGTGAGTGCGGAGCTGGGGCCGCGGGGCCGGCGCTCGCTCTCACCCACGAGCACTTGCAGGCGTCGCGGGGCCGGAAGATGCAGGTTTTTAGCAGGTTTCATTATGTGTGGGAGCTGGTAAGTTAATTTATCAAGCTTTTTGGGTAATATGTGAGCTCAGCATCTGTAAGACCGTGCTTGGGTATTTTTTTGATGATGTGATGAGATAAACTGGTGATTTCTCTGCTTTTTGAGAATGTCTCTGTATTAAAGCTGTCTAACTGTTAAAACTACATAGATTTTTTTTTGCTTATTTGAGGTGTTGATCCCTCTTTCTTTTCCTATACATATATTTTAGTTCTGTTAATATGTGACTTATATAGATTATGAAAGAGTAATGCATTTGAGTGTCCTCTTGCTCTGTCCCAATAGGTGCGTTAGACTGCTTTGAAAAATCTTACTGTGTTAGAGAAATCCCACTCGTATTCAAAGCTCAGGAAAGATGCAAGGAAAATTTTAATATTTTTAACATGGGGATTAACTGTGAAACAGAGGACAATTTTTAATAACTGTCAACTTTTTTATATCTTAATATAAAATGTATTAATCTAATAATGACACTTTTTTTGCAGTTTCCCCTAGAAAATACCTTAAGTTTATTCTCTAGAATTTAGATCGTGCTGTAAGGAATAGACACCTGAAAACTTTCTCTATGAAACTGTAGAAGTTTTGCATTTCCTTCTTCATTATGTGATACTTAATTTCTTGATGTTTTCTTCTTGTATCTTTCCTAGTTCTGAAATACAACCTTTTTGACCCAGAGACTATTTTTCTGTCTTCCCTCCTCCTCCTTCCCTGCAGTCTTGAAAAGATGGTTGGTAAAATAATTAAATAAAGCAATCTTACTGTTCTGGATCTTCCAAAGTAAAAATAATCTTCAGCATCTTCATCTCCTAAAAATAGTATCTTATAATAGAGTGGCCAAGTGGAGACTAGCGAATGTCGCAAGCAAACGTAATTCTTGAATGTTTACTAACTACTAATGTTGCTTGTATTTGAAGCTTTGTTTGAGACAACAATGTGTCTTTCTTGTTTTGTTCCTTTGTACTAGGATTACTCCAGTGATGATACTAAATTAGAGTACAATGTAGATGCAGCCAATGGCATCGTTATGGAAGGTTATCTATTTAAGCGAGCCAGCAATGCCTTCAAGACGTGGAACAGGTAATTCTTCAGGCCCTCACTTTAGCTTGTAGTGATACTATTAGCAAAGCTAGATTCTGCTTTGACCTGCAGCCCCTGTAGCCCGCTAATTCTACAGATTTATCCTTGATGTTGAATTTTGAGAAAACATTTAGATTGCTCCGTTAATTACCATAGAGATTATATTTGAAAGGCGTTTTTTCTTATTTTCTATTGTTTAATTCTGTTTCTAGTTGTTTACAAGCCTTTTTATAAGAAAATACCTTAGTCTAATGTCCTATATGTGGAATGCTTCCTTTGTTGCCACAATCTGACCGTAATTACATTATGGCTTTGCTTTGGGGTTGATAGAGGCATTTTTTTATCGCATATTGTATACAATCATAAACGCATCATAAATATTCTCCTTCCTCCTGG